CCGCGTGCGTTCCACCCGCCAGCGCCAGTCCGCGTCCGCATAGGAGTGCTGCCCCGCGTGCACGCACACGCCCAGCATCCGCGATCCGCTGCCAGCTGCCAGTACCCGCGTCCGCAACACGCACGACCGTGCCCAACGCCCGACGCGCACGACGCCCGCGAGCTGTTTGCTGCACCCGATGACCGAGACCCGCGTGTCAGGTGATCGACTTTCGTGGAACGTATCGATTAGAATCGATTAAAGGCCAAACCTATCTGCCCATTAGGTTGTGGTATTCAGACGAACTTCACCAACGGTACTGATTTCACTTTTTGAAATAAAAGAATCTATTTTTTCTCTACATCGTCTCAGAGTCGGCAAAATTTTTAAAAAGTAAACGTCCATATCCTAACTATAGATTCCGCTGCGTTAGGATTTATTTCGATAAAGTTCAATCCTGTGCATGTTTTTTGACGTTCCTAACAGAACCCAACAACTGGTATCAGAGCCCAGGCTAATGCAAACTCGTGCACGGTTTGAATTTTGGACTTTGCCTGTCTACATGAATTATATGCGTACGGATGCAGCGGCATAGTAGATTAGAAATTGCAATAAGTTTTTGCAGGTGTTTCGAATCCGACTATTGTGGCCCGTATGTATGGATTTTAATTCATGTTGAATGTATGCTGTTTTTAAAGCCTTGGACATGTCAAGGACTTTTTTGGTTGGTGAATGCTTGTAATAAATTATTCGCGCGGTGGGACACCGCATAGTTTATTGCTTTCATAGAAACTCATGTACGGCTCCTGCGTGGGTCATAGGATGAATTATGTAATTGTTGTTTATATTATTCATTATTGATCCGGCGGGCGTGGACCAACCTTGACGGGGCAAGGCATAAACACGTACACGGATGCCATGGTGATGATCCAATTGCAACTTTCCCGGAGACGACCAATTCAGTGGGAGTCACTGCGAAAGAGGGAGTTTCAATACCTGAAACGGAGGGCACACTCAACAAGGACAGGACTGTGTTTTCTCCGTAACATTGGAGATTGATTAATGGCCATAATAGTTGGATTATAGTTCCTAGTTTATTATTGCTCATTAATCATGCATGTTTTACGTGATTGCTTATGTGCAAATACAAACATGTTAAGAAAATCCCATAAACTAAAAATTATATTAAATGTGCAATGGGTTGAAATAAATTACATCCAAGGCCTCCATTATAGGTTTGTCAGTGAAGTGATTTAATTCGAGCCCAAAGGACGTTTTATTTCTGTAATATCCCGATATTTTATCGGTATAAATTATGTTTTAGTTCCGATATAATAATGTTAACGTTTATTATTTTCGGAATTAATTATTTTCAGTCGAGATTACCGAAATTTATTTTCGACGTACCGTTGACGTTCGAAATAATTTTGGTAATTAAGTATTATGTTTAATTAAATTATTAAGTATAATTTAAGGGATTAATTATCATTAATCACGCGATTAGGGCTTAAAGCCGTGAGTGATTAGGCAATTTTCCCAAAAATTTAATGCTAAGGCCGTAAGGAAATAAGGACTTGGTTCCAAATTCATTCTTCTTCACTTTCTTAGGTCTTAAGGCATTATATTTCTTCCACTAATTTAGTTAGCACGTGGCGAGATTAGGGAGAACTTAGTCATCTATAATCCATCTTAAATGGAAGCAAGTGGCAAGGGCCTAAGAGGCCACGTCCCTTGTACGTAACCATCACCCCCATCAGCTGAGTATAAATAAGACCATGTGGACGAAAATTTTCCCACTCTTTAGCAACTTAAACGTTCAGCCTTAGACCCCATCTTCAGCAGCAAGAACTGATAGCAATCTCCCTAATTCTCCCCTCAAATTGCACGGCAAGTGAAGGAAATAGGCACCGCACGTACGCACGGCTTACAGGAGCTTTCATCCAGCTTGTAATTCCTTGTGCGTTTGAGAAGGTATAATGATACTGACCCCTTTTTCATGTTAATATGTCTAATTGAGGTTGAATGGTTCGGTCCATATGTAAGAATTTCTTGGTTATGTCATAAAGAGGCTCGGTTTAGGCCAATTAGGCCAAGACCGAATTATGTTCATTTCAGTCCGACAAGTCCCGAACGTTTATCGGTTGTTTAGCCTTTATTCAGTTTATCATATTCAGTAAGCTCGGATTTGTTGAGGCAAAGTGAAGTTTTGTCAATAAAAAGGGCCCAAGCCGTTGCCAGCGCCTATCGCGCGCGGCCTCGGGTGGCCTCAGGCCGTGCCTTAGTATCTTCAGTAAGGATCATGTTCAGCCGTGTGTTAGTGTCCTAAATTGCTTCATATTAATGCTCACGTCATTTTGTTCTGAAGTTGCCGAGTAAAAAGGGGTTGTGGCCGAGAGACGGCGTATAGCCGTCGGCGGAGCACGGCGCGCCCGCCGCGGCCCTTTCATGTTCAGCGTGCAACGGTTGCATTTTCAGGTCATAATATTCATGTTAAATCAGAAAAGGTTAAAAGAAGTCAGTTTGATCGGAGAATGTTGCCGGACGGCCGACAAGGGCCGGCCGTGGTCGCGCTGCCGCACACAGCGGCAGCAGCGCATC